ACTAATTAATAATAAAAATATATATTAATTACATTTTAATTTATACATTAAAATATATATTTTTTATTATTATTATAGGAATGCTTACCGGATGCAATGTAGATTTATAGTTCGGTATCGATGCAAATTCATTTGATATATGAAAAAAAAAATTAAATGGGATTAGAGAAAATAGCAAATTCACATTGTTATCCCAAAAAATCTCCTTGACACGTGGCAAATGAAATAGCGTGCCACTTGCTTTGCTCAAAACAAGAAAGATTTCTCCGACGACCCTCTCTTCTTTCTAAGCATAGAACTCAGCTTGTGAGTTGATGGAAGAACGTCGTGAATTGCACCTTAAAGATCAGACGATTGGCAGAAACGAGGGATGAACTTCTTGCACTAAATGGGTTATACGACAAAATGCCCTGGATATGATTCCAAGGACTCCTCAAAGCTAATGTAATAAAAAAAAGTTAAGATTGCAAGCTAAACAAATGATCGCTAAACTACTGAAAATCTAAATGAATTTTAAATACGCAAATTGAATTGAAACAGAGCTTTAAAAGGAAATTTAATTGCAGCAGAAGTAAATTAAGTTAAAGTAAATAAAACCCGAAGCATGAAAAATCTACTGGCAACATGAAATGTAAATTAACAGAAATGAAACTGAACATGAAATTAAATGTCGACATCATTTGATTAAATTAAAGGAAATCTGGAAAACAAATATAAAGGAAAGTAAGCAATCCGATTACAAAGAAATATTACTGAAGGCAGCGAAACTCACCATTACAAATTCGACAAAAGAAGAACCGAATTGCTAAACTAATCTAGGTTGAAGCGTAGAGCTAAAATTGAATTAAAGGGCTTGAAACTAAAATGAATCTGAGTATAAAGAGAAATTGTGCTGAGTTTGTTGTGTGAGATGTCGATCCTTTGCTTGATCTTATCATTAGGTATTTATAGCAGCTTGGCAGCATGGTGGAAATCTGCGGCAGCATCCTGAAAGACCAACGACAGCATAATATCTGTAACAAATTGATTAATTTGTTGGTGCTGTGATTATCCTCCTAAAAGCTCGCAACAAAAGAACGGTTTTGCTGCCGTTGTGAAAATAACCACTCAATCTCATCTAAAGAAATCCACACCAACTTCCAACTAATAAAATATCTGCCATCATGGGTGACAGGTGGCAGCACTCCATTTGTTGTAAAATTAGGTGTAAACATTGCCCCCCCAATTTTTGGCCTTACGGGAGTAGGTATCAAAAATTTAGGACCTTAGTGACAGTACTCAACTTCTTTGTGCCTTTGTCTCCTTTTGCTGTTTACATTTCCTCTCCATTTTGGAATCGAAAACGTGGCCAACTGCAACTTCTGCGACGCAATTGCAATTTTTCACCACTTAGGACTCGGAAACATGATCGACTCCAATTCATTATAAAACACAGCCACTCCTCCGATAACCATCATCACAGATTTACGGCCATTTCTCTCTTTTTTGTTTTTCTAGTTTTCGCATCGTCTCTGTCAAGCCATTCCAGCCATGGCCAACCAATTTCTTGCCCAAGAGTTATAGCAAAGAGGAAGCCTCAAATCAAATCAGCCCCTTTGGCATCAATTCGGCAATATCCAAAAACAAATTGCCGAAATTATTAATGAAGAACCTTCATGCCGCGACAACCGGATCCACATCGTCTTCAACGATTCCATCAATTTGGGTCCAGTTTTGAAGGAGACAGCCGCTGCACTCCTACGCCTCCACTACCCTCAGCCGAGCAAGCATCTATTACCCTTTCAAGTCAAGCCAGATTGGAGTGAGTGGTCAACACGCATCGTTGCATGGCCAATAGTAACTAAAGGTGAATGGCCGGCATGGGTAAAAAGGTTGGAACCTCACTTTGCAGACATATGGAAAGCAACTGGAATTTTTGAATTTATTCATATGACCACAACTCAAGTGTCGGTAAACAAAGCCATTTTAACAGTAGCTATGTGTTTTTGGTCATGCTCCTATAACTGCTTTCACTTCCCTTGTGGTGCTATGTCCATCTCTCTATTTGATATTTGTTCTTTAACCGGTCTTCCCTGCATTGGAGAAGAGGTTTCTGCCCTGTTGCCAGCTGTTCCTGTTGAAGAATATGACCCCGGTGACACCAGAACAACTTTCTTGAGTTTCCAAAGGAACTCAATTCTCGCCACCAAGAGTAAGAATCCAGACTAAAGAGAACATATTTCCTTTTTATTATGTTTGATCTGTAAGTTTATGGTTTTCCTTACTGGGAGGTGTGTTGCCAAAGAGTTCATTCCTCTTGCTGTCGATTTGGCACATGGTAAAAAATTTGCTCTTGCTCAATTTATGCTCGGCTATATATATCGTGGATGCTATGATGTCACCATCTTTCCATTCGGGAAATTCAGTGGTGCTCTTTGGGTCCTACAATTGTGGCTTTATTCTTACTTCCCAACTGTCGCCCCTGAATTTGAGAAAGTTGATGAGGAAGATTTGCTAACTTACGGCATGTGCGTCCAAGATGTAAAGAAGCTGCCGCAAAGTTTCAAGACATATTTTAACTATTTCGCATCCCTCTCAATTGACCGCTCAAATGCAGAATTTGCAGTATTTCTTGAAAGGAAGTATGGCCCAAAATGGTATAAAGCACATAGAAACAGTGAGGAATTCAAAGCTTGCTGGAAAGCTTACATTTCTCCAAGAGATTTATTCATAGGCTACAGCATTGGGGGGCCGCAATCAAGGTGTAGCTCAGAGCTATACGCTCCTACTCAATTCTGTCGGCAACTTGGATATTGCCAGGACATCCCTGCTCCACCTCAGTTTACCGGGAATGTTTGCTTCCCTTTGAGGTTTCTCTTTCCTGACATCGAATCAATACAAGAGCAGGTTCAACTTACCAGCACTTTCCTCAACTCAATCGACCTTCAGCTACCTCCACTTAGCCATTCCGACTGCACTAAAGCTTATAAAGACTGGTGGACGTCACACTTCACATCACGCTTTTGTGCTGTAATGAATTCCTTGGACCAGTTTGCTCCCCCAGAAAATAACAGAAAGGAAGACAAAAGCAAAGCCGAAAATCCTCCACCCCTTGGCAAAGTCAAGAATTCCTCAAATGAGAAACCAAAGACGCAACCTGCTAAGAGGAAAACGTCTTCTCCACAGATTTCTGATAAAGAGGATGCACCAAATAAAATTGCAAAAGGTAAATTTTCGGCCTTCATTGTTTTGCTTCTTTCCTTGTATGAAACTAATCCAACTTTATGCAACAGCATCTATTCATAGTTCCACTAAGCTTGCAGTCACAAAGGTCAATCCTCCTTGCTCAATGACCAAAGCTATTCGGTCTTCCCCTAGGGTTACAAGCTAATATTTTCAAACTATAGAATCAAATGAGGAAGCTGACTTCTCAAGAGAAGAATTGCAGCCGGTCACCACCTCACCGCCAAGGCCTATTGCTCCTGCAAAGGTAGATACACGTACTTTCTTTATGTTTCTTGCTGCCACTTAAATTTTTTTTTTTTTACATGGCTGCCGTATGGATTGCAGGCTACTTCACTCATGATTGAGATAGATGATGATGTCCTTGAGAGTGAGGTTTTTGCTCAATTGGACCTCTTGGATGACTTCTTGGAAATAGAAAGGTCCATGCCTCCTCGCTCAAAAGATAAGATCATGGAAGAAGAAAAGAACAATCCGGATATCCCTTCTCAAGAATCCATCGATGCTGCCACCCACCTGCTTCTTGAGCTATTGAATGGTAATCCATCTGAACTTTGCCAAATCGTTGATCAAAATGAGGCATTCAATGCTGCTGAGGTCTTGAGCAAGGCTCCCACACTGGATGCATCAGTGCGTATGTTCTGGAGCAATTTCCCTACTGTTTACAAGAACTTTAGCCAACAGTTTATGAATGAGAAGAAAGTTGTGTCAGAAGCAACCGCGGCTGCAGATCTTGCCCGGCAATGTAAAGATGCAGTGGAGAAGAAAAAGAGTATTTATGAAAAGGTGAAAAATAGCATTAGCACCCAAATGAAGCTGCATCAAGATAACCTAGATGAGATTGCCAAACTAGAAGCCCGCCTTGCCGAGTTGAAAAAGGCAACAACAAAGGAAGAAGACAACCTCAAATCCCTTAGAGCCGAGAGAAGCAAATTACTAGTTGAGCTCAAGGAAGAAGGCCGTGAAGCTTTGGCTGCAAAGAGTGAGGCTGCACAACAGGAGGAGAAAGCAAAGGAAGCCAACAACACACTGCAACAAATGAGAGATGAGTGGGCCACCTGGATGCAAAACCTTTGTTAGGTTTTTTTTTTTTAAAACATCATTCCTCCTTGTCACGGCCATTAAGCCGCTTGAACATTTGTTTCCAGACTTCTTTTATTTTTCTTCTTCTAATGATAAACATGAATTTATTCGCTTGCTTTATTCATGCTGCCCACGGCTTTGCAAACAAAACCGCTCTAAAACACAAATGTAAGAACATGCTATGCTTCCTTGGCAGCACCAAGTCTTATGTATGCTTCCATGGTTCAAGCCAAAACTCTATGTGTCCTTATTGAAAGAAAAAAAACTTCAATCAAATAATATACAAATGTCTGCAAACCTGGATCATGCAGACGTGGAAGCAGAACTATCCCTTGCCTCCCACACAATCGGATGATATGGTTTCAAGTAGATGCCATTGATCTTGCGCGGATGCAACTCCCCATTCAAAGATTTTAACCAATAAGCACCCCCTTTAAGAACTTTATGAATTTGGAATGGTCCTTCCCAATTAGGGGACCACTTACCATATCTAGGATCCTTCTTGCCAAGTGGCAGCACAGCCTTCCAAACCAAGCTTCCTTCTGCTAAATTCTTTTGCTTGACCCTTTTATTGTAAGCTCGTGCCACTTTAAGCTTCTGGGCCTTCATCACATCCAATGCTGTCAGTCTTGCTTCCTCAAGGTCTTCCAACTCCATGATCATGGCCTCATTGTATTCCCCAGAATTCAAGCCATTTTGAATTGCAATCCGCAAAGACCTTGCCGTTAATTCCATAGGCAAGACAGCATCATGACCATAAGTAAGCGAAAATGGGGTCACCTTAGTTGAACTCCGTTGTGAGGTTCTGTATACCCAGAGAGTATCTAAAAGAAGCTCATGCCATCTCCTGGGATTATCATCAACCATTTTCTCCAGGATGTTGATGATAATCTTATTAGATGCCTCTGCTTGACCATTTGCTTGTGCATAATGCGGAGTTGAATTAAGCAAATGAAATCCCATGTCTTTTGCAAAGGCCTCTACTTGAGATCCAACAAAAGCAATACCTTGATCAGAAGTGATAGTTTCTGGAAGACCAAACCTGTGGATCAGATCCTCTTTTATGAACTTGATGACATCTCCTTGCTCAACCTTCTTCATAGGCCTTGCCTCCACCCACTTAGTAAAGTAGTCTGTAGCAACTATTATGAAAGAATGGCCTTTAGAAGAAGGTGGATAGATTTTCCCAATCAAATCAATTGCCCAGCCACGAAAAGGCCATGGCTTGACAATAGGATGAAACTCAAAAGTTGGCGCTAGCTGCAAAGGACCATGCAGCTGACAAGCTCTGCAGCCCTTCACATAATTAATGCAATCCTTAAGAATAGATGGCCAAAAGAAACCAAGCCTTCGAATTAGCCATCTCATCTTAATCCCTGCTTGATGAGCACCGCAAATACCATTATGAACATCTGACATCACATGGCAACTTTCATCAAGACCGAGGCAGCGCAACAATAATTCATCCTGCCCCATACGATACAGAATATCCCCGAGTAGCACATAGTTTAAAGCTTGCATCCTCGTTCTCCTTGATGTTTTAGAACTGGGATTCCTCAAATGTTCTATTATTGGATGCCTCCAGTCTGTAGGTGTGACATCTAGTGAGCATGCTTCCACTGTTATTCCTCTTTGATGAATTGAAGGCAGCATACATTTTTCGATGACGATGACTTTCTCCAAGATGCCTTCAAGCATTTTTACACCTGAAGCAATCTGCGCAAGTTCATTTGCTTCCATATTCATGTTGCGAGGAATATGCTTTAGGGAGACATCATCAAATTCCTCCAGTAGTTGGATGGCAGTGGCAAAATATGGAGACAAAACCACGCTTGTACACTTGTATTCGCCACTCAATTGCTTGAGAACTAATTGAGAATCACCCATAATTTCAACCGATGGCACCTTCAACTCTACCAACAACTCAAGACCAATTACCAAAGCTTTATATTTTGCTTGGTTATTGGTGCATTCAAAATCCAACTGAAAACACCATTGGGTTTTTATGCCATCTGGAGAAACAATAATAATCCCAGCCCCAGAGGCTTGATCAGTGCTAGACCCATCAAAAATAAGTCTCCAAGGAACCAAGTCAATTGAAAAGAGATTGATTCCCTTGTCTTCATCAGCATTAACATCTAAACAAGGATGATCTGCTAAAAAGTCTACTAAAGCCTGTCCTTTGACGGCTTTTTGAGGCAAATATCTCAGATTAAATTTAGTAAGTGCAAGAATCCACTTACCAATGCGGCCTGGCCGCGACAGCATATATTTTATGACATCAGTTTTTGAAACAACAAATACCTCCGAATACAATAAATAGTGCCTTAATTTTATTGCTGCAAAGAACAAAGCCAAACACAATTTCTCAACCGAAGAATATTTTACTTCGGTCGGATTCAAAGCTCTACTCAAATAATAAACAGCTTGTTCTTGTTTATTATTAGTCTCTTGCGCCAGCAGACAGCCAATTGACTCATCTACGGCGGATATATACAGCAATAAGGGTTTATTCTTAACTGGAGGAACCAACACAGGTGGCTTGGACAAGTATTCCTTGATGGCATCAAAGGCGGCTTGGTGCTGCCTCTCCCATTTAAAATCTGCATCAGGCTGCAACTTCAAAAGAGGTGAAAAGACATGAGTTTTGCCCGCCAAATTAGAGATAAACCTCCTTAGGAAATTAACCTGACCAAGAAACCTTTGTAATTCCTTTTTATTTTGTGGTGGCTGCGCTTCAATTACGGCCCTTGCTTTGTTTTTGTCCACCTCTAGGCCTCGTTCATGGACCAGAAAACCCAAAAAATTCCCTGCTGTAACACCAAAAGCACACTTGAGAGGATTCATCTTCAAACCATGCTGTCGCATTCTTTCAAAAGCTTTCCTCAAGTGCTCCAAATGTTCTTCATCCTCCATGGATTTAACAACAACATCATCGATATAAATCTCCATGAAGCGGCCAATCATATCATGAAAAATTGCATTCATGGCCCGCTGATATGTAGCTCTTGCATTTTTCAACCCAAACGGCATCACGACCCATTCATACGTACCTATGTTTCCAGGGCAACGAAACGTCGTTTTACTTATGTTCCCTCTGCAATAAAGATCTGATTATAGCCATTATGCCCATCCATAAAAGATAAAATGCGATGGCGTGCAACCCCATCAACAAGTAAATCTGCTACCGGCATGGGGTATTCATCCTTTGGTGTGGCTAGATTTAAGTTCCGAAAATCAATGCAGACTCTGAGCTTTCCATTCTTCTTCAGTACTGGAACAATATTAGACAACCATTCTGAGTACCTAGCTGTCCGTATAAAACCAACTTTATGCAGCCGCTCCACTTCTTCCTTCACCTTCAAAATCACTTCTGGAGACATACGGTGTGGCGGCTGTTTGTACGACTTATATCCTTTGTTGATTGGTAGTCTATGCTCTACCAACTCTTGGTCTAAACCTGGCATCTTAGAATAATCCCAGGTAAAGCAGTCTTTGAATTCATGTAGTAAACAAATTATTTTATCTTGCATCTCTGGCGGCAGCAAGCCACTAACAAAAGTAATGCGTGGCTCTGCCTCCGTTCCTAGATTAACTTCCTTCAATGGATCTTGTACATCAGCCCTAACGTCATCCAGCTTGGCAGGGGCTAGATCTAACTCCTCCATTGTGACTCCGTCGGTATGGATGTCTTCCTCACCTTCATGTACCACCTTCGACAGATTTGCTTCTGTATTTCTTTCAGCAAAATAGGCCGCTAATTTCTTTAGAATTTCATATACGGCCTCCCTTCTTTCTTTGTTTATCCTGGATTTCTTCATAATAACTCCTCAATTTGGGCTCCTCTTGCAGCCTATATGGAATAATGGCAGCAGGCCACAAGAGTTCATTACATACCTCGTTAACCACATACTTAGCCAAGGTAAGCTTGTTGCAAGCAGTGATTCCACGAGGTCTTCCTTGTCTATCCATGCCGAAGAAACGGATGGTTCCTACGTCTTCATCATAGTATCATGCTTCCACCATATTGGAATTGGCTAAGAATGGTCTGTTGTCAGCATAAACCACCTCAGTCTTGCCTCCATTCCAAAAAATGAGTCTTTGATGGAGAGTAGATGGAACACACCAATTCGAATGGATCCAATCACGTCCCAGTAATGCATTATAAGTTGTAGAAGAGTCTACAACAAAGAAAGCACTCATTGACGTCTTGCTGCCGACAGTAAGTGCAACCGGCAGCACTCCTTTTGATTTGCTAACACCACCTGTGAAATCACTAATGGTTACGTCAGTATAAACCAAGTCCTCAGAATTTTTACCCAAATTCCTCAGTATAAAAGAAGGTATGACGTTGACTGCTGCTCCATTGTCAACAAGGACTCGATTCACTGGAACTCCATCCATGTGAGCTGAAATGTAGAGTGGCTTTATATGACGAGCCACACTTTCATCTGGTTTGTTAAAGATAATTTGTTCTGAAAGAATATCGTGCTCCTCTTCCTCTTCTTGGGATGGAACCTCTATCACTTCTTCCTCAACAAGCATGCTGCCATTGGAAACATGGGTAGTCCCGTTGCCCTTGGCTTGAAAAACTAAAGGAAGCGTGATAACCAAACAAAAGAGATTAATAGAGATGCTGCCGATCTGCAGAACATCCATGTCCTCAAAAAGATTATCATCGCTAGTCAACTCTGCTTGTTGATCTGCTTCAAAGGTTGCCTTCAACTCATTTTCATTGACGATCAATGAGGTGAGCTTAGGAGGTGGCACTTTCAGCTGAGATTCATTTTGGACAGTAAGCTCTTGATTCTCTTTTCTCTTCCACACCATCTTTCCCTTTGCGAGAGAATGTTGTGGAACCTTAACTTCCTCAGTAGCTAATTGTTGACGACGATGTGCCTCTGCTTGCTTTCGCTGCAACCTTCTTCTCAAAGTTCTAGGATTTCTCACAGGTTCTTTTGGAAACTTGGGATGCACGACCTTCTCCCATCTTTTACTTGAAGGTCGCTGTGGAGGCTTAACCATACGAGAGCGATCTGTATGTCGAGCCTCCTTCATCTTGGATCTAGATGCATAGATTCTGGCAGCATGGTGTTGCCCCCCGAGCCTCTGATTCTGTTGGGCACGACGTTCCCTTTCCTTCTCAATCACCCAACGAAGGTCATCTGCAGCCAAAGTTCGCCCTTTATACGTCCTTCGAGAGATGCTCCTTATGTTAGCAACATTAACTCCAACATCAACGTTTGGAAAAGGGTTCTCATCAACCCCCATGGCTTCCTTGGGTTTTTCAGGGAAACGAAGCAGCCCTTTGTCAATCTTGTCCTGCAACACATTTCGAAAAATAACACAATCATTAGTAGAGTGTTTCTAGGAGTTATGAAACTTACAGTAATCTTTGGATGCAATTTCAGCAACCGTCGGGAGCCTATGCCCTTGCGGCAGCTTAATATGTCCTGACTTTTTTAGATAATCAAAAATTTCATCTGCTTTAGTCACATCAAATGTGTATTGTCTCCCAGATTCATATGGGAGACGCTTTGCAGCCACCTCAACTTGTTGAGTGACTTTCACTAGATTAGGACAAATTACTGGCTTGTCTGCAAAGACCTCGGCAATATCAAGGTCAAAAGCATCTTGATAATAAGTTCCTTGCGATGCTGCCTTTCTTTGGGATTCCTCTCTTAAAAGGTTCTCATAACGTGCCACCTTATAAAAGAGCTCAAAGAAGTCTCTGAATTCCATCCCCTCAAACTTCTTTTGAGGTTCAATATCTAAACCATTTTGAGCAAGCTTCATGAACTCTTGCTCTGGTAAGGCAACATGACACTTCATTCGGGCTTTTCTAAACTGCATAAGATAATTTTCAGAAGATTCCCCTGGCCGTTGAGTTAGTCTAGAAAGATCAGCCATGGATATCTCAGGCTCTGAGCGGTAGAATTGAATATGAAACAAATCTTCCATTTGTCTCCAAGCAAATACAGAATTTTGCGGCAAACTTAGGTACCATGTCAGTGCAGTACCAGTTAAAGAACTTGGGAAGAGTCTTAACTTCAAAAAATCATCACCCGATGCCTCCCTACATTGAATAGTGAACCTACCAATGTGTTCAATGGTTGACTGGCTTGCGTCCCCAAAAAACAAAGTAAATTCAGGCACTTTGAATCCATGAGGAAATGGATTATCCCGATCTATGTAATCTGGATACGGCTTGTGATAGGAAGGACGAACCAATGGTCTCAGAGCTAGACCATATGTCTCCTGGACTAGATCAATCAGTTGATTTCTATCCAAGGGAGGAGCTGCTACTTGTAGCCCGAGTGGTTGAAAAACATTATTCTGCAAGTTGGGCTGTGGGACAGCATTTGGATGCCGTGCAGGGGGTACATATCTTTGTTGATTGGCGTTGAACTGCTCAGCTGCACGAAATGCTGCTTCCACAGGATCTTGTGGTCCAAGGATGCCACCAACATGATTGTTTTGCTGCTGCCTATTGAACTGCACCTGGCCAGCACCAAGAGCATTATTTTGAGCATTGGGCATTTGCTGCACCACCTGTGGCTGATTAATATGCCCCCCGTGCCCCCCGAGCAAAGGATCTGGAAGATTTTGCTGTGGCAATTCCATTGCTGGAGGTACGGGTTGCCTTGGAACATTTTGCTGTTGTCAAACATGTTCCATGGTTCTCTCAGAAACTGCAGTGAAGGTTCTGCGACTTTCTGCTACATCTTCTCGAATGGCTCGAGAACTTTCATTAATGACCCTTTCAATAGTATGGTTAAATACCCTTTTTGGTCCCTCTACTATAAGAAAAAACCCCTTTTTGGTCCTTGTACCGAAAAAATCCCTTTTTTTATCCCTAAATTTTAAAATCCGGCCCCTTTTTAGTCCCTTCGTCAAATTTTGCTCGCGTGGCACGTTAACTTAACTGGAACAATTGACGTGGGTATGCCAACATGTAAAAATGCTTACATGGACTTCTGACACCTACCATGTCACTCGCTACGTCACTTGCCATGTCACTATCCCCCTCCAATTTTTTCATTTTCGTGCGTGGGAGAGTGACGTGGCAAGTGATGTGGCAGGTGTCAGAAGTCCACATAAGCATTTTTTACATGTTGGCATACCCACGTCAGCTGTTCCAGTTAAGTTAACATGCCACGCGAGCAAAATTTGATGGAGGGACTAAAAAGGGGCCGGATTTTAAAATTTAGGGATCAAAAAAGGGATTTTTTCGGTATAGGGACCAAAAAGGGGCTTTTTCTTATAGTAGAGGGACCAAAAAAGGGTATTTAACCCAATAGTATTCATATATTGAGTGAACTGATCTGACTGTTGTTGTTGGGCTTGAAGAAAGCTTTCTAGACTACGCTTTATGTTCTGATTAGCTTCTTCTTGCAGCCTCCTTATCTGCTGAAGTTCTTGAGATATTTTATTGCTTGACTCAGTAGAATCAACCTTTTCCTCATCATCCTTGCGATATATGGGATTGCCATATAAGCGATCAGCCAAGGGAGAAATAGGCGGAAGATGCTCCGGACTATTTTCACCTTCAGAATGTCTTGGACTCATAGGAGCAATTTCCACTTGCTATGCAACTTCTTTTCCAACTCTCCTAGGCATGGCTATGGCTGCTTTATGCCCAGGAAAAGCAAAGAGTGGATCAAAAAACTTTTCTTGATAGACGATCGCCAGTAGGAGGTCCCACTGGACGTGCCAAAAAGAGATTGTTATCCCAAAAAATCTCCTTGACATGTGGCAGATGAAATGGCGTGCCACTTGCTTTGCTCAAAACAAGAAAGATTTCTCCGACGACCCTATTTTCTTTCCAAGCATAGAACTCAGCTTGTGAGTTTATGGAAGAACGTCGTGAATTGCACCTTAAAGATTAGACGATTGGCAGTAACAAGGGATGAACTTCCTGCACTAAATGGATTATACTACAAAATGCCCTGGATATGATTCCAAGGACTCCTCAAAGCTAATGTAATCAAGAAAAGTTAAGACTGCAAGCTAAACAAATGATCGCTAAACTACTGAAAATCTAAATGAACTTTAAATACGCAAACTGAATTGAAACAGAGCTTTAAAAGGAAATTTAATTGCAGCAGAAGTAAATTAAGTTAAAGTAAATAAAACTCGAAGCATGAAAAATCTACTGGCAGCATGAAATGTAAATTAACAGAAATGAAACTGAACATGAAATTAAATGTCGACATCATTTGATTAAATTAAAGGAAATCTGGAAAACAAATATAAA